TGCAACAAAATAACCAGACGTCTCTGTCGAGACTGAAACTCTACTGGTTTGTACTTATAGCAAAGGAAGAGAAAATAAAGTACTTGGGAACTGAAACTTTACAACAGCAATAAACTGAATAATGATCCTTGATTAAACCTCTTTATGTTCTTAGTGTAGTCTACTTGCATGCCACATTATATTATAATCAGATTAAAACTGTATTTGTAGCATTTTGAGAGTATTGAACAGAAATTTCTATTTAAGTAACCAAGGCATATTCATCGAATTCAAAAACCCATATACAGAATTGTGTATCTTAGTGTAGTCTACTTGTGTGACAAGTTATATTGAAATCAGACCAAAACTGTCAGAGGATTAGCATTTAAAAAATTTCACAGAAATTTCTATTTTTTTGTAACTTCGACAACACCGTTCATCGAAATCAAAACCCGATATATATAGAATTTTGTATCTTGGTGTACTTGTGTGACAAGTTATATTGAAATGAGACAAAAATTGTAGAGAGAATTTTTCAGAACTTTCTATTTTTAGTAACCATGGCAACAATCTAGGGCTGGGTGTTTACCAGAAATTTCGTATTGCGATATTTTTAACTGTATTGCGATATGTATTGCAATATTTCCAACGTTACTAAAATGGCATTTTCTTATGAAATTAACTTTAATTTACTTGAAGAACATACATAATTATGATTAGTTTGCAGAAGCAAAAAAAATATTTTTTGATTTTATTAAAGCTATGTTCTGGAATAGACACCCATAAAATTTTCTTACTGTTTGGCTTATTAACAACTCCTCTTATATTTATTTTTATATTTAATGATAAAATTACTGAGTTTAAACATTTTGTCGATATATCAATATTACAAACAAGCTAATTCAGAGAATTCGTGTCCCCCGCTTAGGGAAAAAGTCGGATCCCCCTGACTGAATTTGTAGAATTAGTAAATGTATACATGTATACTGTAGCAAATAAGATACATGTATGTCAATATGCATATAAAGATTTGATTGCTTATTCTTTATTATGTGTATAGAAGATTCTTTTTATATGGAATATTTATCACATTGTAATGATGATTTTTTAACCTCATAAATTTTTCATTTCACATGCTGAATACTATAATTTATTAAAAAAAAAAAAAAAAAGAAAAGTATTTAAAAAAGAAAAAGGATCGACCGATCCCGGGACCTCTCACACGTGAAGCAAGAGACATAACCGCTAGACCACGGAATCGCTTTAGACGGTGTCAAGTATATGCAGAACTGAAGTCACATACTTGTATATATTTATGTTCGGTATTTTCAAAATTTTACACAATCCATGGTGTTTGATTTATTTAGCCTTTATTAAACAGTTCTAATAGATGTAATAAGAACATAAAGTCCGCCGAGAACCTGTTTTATACGCAATAACTCTCCTCATGCCCCTGCGCTAAAAATAGCGATATGTAATACTATAAATACTAATAAAACAAACGGGGCGGGGCACTTTGAGAGGGGCGGGAGAGGTCCTATAGAGTTTTGGTATAAAATTACATTGCATAAGCTCAAAATCTTCTTGAAATATCGCCCGGAAATGATAGTGTTACACACAGACAGGATGTTTAAATTTACGACCGTGAACTTTGACCTTTTGACCTCAAAATCAATAGGGGTCTTCATTAGGCCACAGGGAGTTGCTATGTAAAATTTCATTGCAATAGCTCAAATGGTTCTAGAGATATCGTGTGGAAACGAAAGTGTTTAAACAGACAGAATTTGCATATTTATGACCTTGACCTTTGGACCTCAAAATCATAGGGGTCTTCTTTAGTCCATAGGGAATTGCTATGCTAAATTTCATTGCAAAAGCTCAAAGGGTTCTCGAGATATCGTGTGGAAACGAAACCGTTACAGACAGACAGAAAGACGGACGGACGGACGGACAAACCCAAATTAATATCCCCTACTTTTCAAGCGGGGGACAAAAAGTTTTGCAATACGATATTATTTGTCATTATATTGCAAAATACCGAAATACCGATATTTTTGCCCAGCCCAAGGCAACACCGTTCATCGAAATCAAAAACCGATATACAGAATTATGTACCTTATTGTAGTCTACTTGTGTGCCAAGTTATATTGAAATTAGACCAAAACTGTAGGAGGAGTAGCATTTTGAAACAATTTCAAAGAAATTTTTATTTTTAGTGACCATGACAACACATTTCATTGAATTCAAAAACCGATACACAGAATTGTGTATCGTAGTGTAGTCTACGTGTGTGCCAAATATTATTGAAATCAGACCAAAACTGTAGGAGGAGTAGCATTTTGAAAAATTGTTTACAGACGGACGGACGCCGGACGCATTACTATTGCATAAGCTATTTTGGTCTCTGACCAGTAGAGCTAAAAAAAAAAATACCAAAGGAATATTGTACAAAATGAAAAGCATGAAATTCCTGACACGCGAACACTTCGTATGAATATAACGGACCATCTTAATTAATTATAAGCAACACATAATGATATTCTTATAACGTTTCAATTGATGATCATTTTTATTGAATTTACGTTTTTCTCTTTTGCCGATAATAAACATTATATCAATCTATCATCCAACCACCATAATAGGATCTTCCAATAACATCACTTAAAATGTCACCCAGATTGTTGGACGTGGTTATTCGCACAAACACCTCATCGTTTTGGTTTAATTGAGCAACAGCAGTCCCTGCTGAGTTCCCACCTACACCATTCGTTGCGTCAAAAAAGACTGCGCTTATTGCCTTTTCGTTCACGATTAGTTCAGTTGACAGATGGGCGTCGTTCTGTATCCGAAAAGACCAAGTAAACACATAGGTTCCTGTTCGAGGTGCGATGAATATTCCGGAATGAGGATGGTAGCCGTTTCCGATATTAGTTATCACAGTATCGAAGGCGATAACGATATGGCTACCAGGGCTTGCCAGTTTATGGGATACATAAGCATAGAAAGCCACCGTAGTTCCGGCCGATGGGGTAGGTGCTGGTGATGTCACTGGTACCAACAATCTTTCTACAGAGGAACCATTATTCATTATAGAATATGTAAAAAAAAAAGCAACATACATGCAGCTATTTCTTTTTTAGAAAAAAAAATATTAACAGAGCATTTATGACATGTTCATATGAGCATTTGTGGAATGTCAAATGAATACGTACGAAAAACATTTAAAAGATTTTTCTAACATACAAAGATACCTTTTCGAAACAATCCAGCTGATGTCGTATTAGCTTTACTGAATGAATGTGAAGAGACGGAGTGGTTTGGAAATGGCTTGTTTACTGTATGATGAAGATTACCAAGGTTACTTCCAAATGTCTTAATATTTCTTGTACACACTGACTGCAATTTAGATATTATCCTTTCCTGATCCGAACTATTGTTCTGAAGCTCTCTTATTTTCCAGGATTGTTCAACGTTAATTTTTTCAAGTCTTGTGTGTTTGGTCTCTAGATCAAAGATCCGCTCATCTTGATAAAAAATCCTTTCCTGAAGTTTCTCTAGCAAGTCTCTAATTGGCTCCTTATCCTCGTTTTGCGCATCGTATGCAAGAACATTGAGTGAACAGCAAAACAACACAACAGAGGTAAGAACCGATATTCCCGCCATTTTCTCAAGGAATGCTAATGTCAATACAGAGATCTTATCAGTATTATGATATAGAAACTCTCTGATGGGTCACAAGTACTTTAATATTCCTTCCAGTGTCCTTCTTATCTATCTTTTAAACTTCATACGTAGGTTTATCTTCATTTGGCAAAATTAACGAAATTTTTTTTGAATGCAATGAGAGGTCATCTTCGTAAGACACTGTCACAGGTTTGAGTTCATTCTAAATTCACAAACCCGTTTGATTATATACTAAATGCACTTTAAAATATGTTCTTATACTTGTGTTAATGATTCCTTTTATCAGTCGACACTTTAAGTCAGTAATCAATTGTCTTATGAAAATGGTCGCCCGCGTGGCGCAGTGGTTAGAGCATATGCTCTAGAGTCGCGAAGTAAAGAGTAAATCCTTAGGTCACGGGTTCAAATCCCACTGTGGGACGTGGAGACCGGTCCTCCGGATGAGACAATATAAACCGAGGTCCCGTGTAGCAGTAGGTGCTAGCACAAAAAAGATCCCTCCCTGTTTAATTTTCCTGAGTGCCGAGTATAGGACAAAAATTTACAGCTCTCAACCAGCAAGTGGTGGCGTCTCCAAATGAATGAAAAATTCTCTCGAGGGACGTTAAACAATATACAATCAATTTTATGAAACTGAGCATTGAGTAATTTGGTACAGACAGAAGAAAGGATAAACAGGGAGTTTACATCGGATTCGATGTGATGTGAATCCCATAATATTGAATGCCAAACAATGTGCTAAATTCCAATCATCTGCGACGAGCAGTTGCTAAGAAATAAATTGTTCAGGCACACGGGGGATTTATTTTTTAACTTCAAAAGCACCTGCAATATGTAGTTAATTATGTTCCCCAAACGGAGTTTGGGAACATATTGTTTTTACTCGGTTTCTTATTATTATGTTCCCCAAACGAAGTTGGGGAACATATTGTTTTTACTCTGGTTCTTATTATGTTCCCCAAACGAAGTTGGGGAACATAGTGTTTTTACTCTGTTTCTTATTATTATTATTTTTCTTCTTCTTCTTCTTCCTGGGTACTTTTTTGTCCGGGAATGATCTCGTAAACTATACATCCGACTTAGGTGAAATGTTTTTAGGGTCAGTAGACATGTTATGTAGATTTGCGGAACAAAGGTCATTTTGCGCGCACGTGCTTGCAAGAGCGTGCACGTGCAACATGTGAAATGACCGATTTTATTGATATAGGCGTAACTTTTAAAATTTTTGATGAAATGCTTTGAAACCTATAATATAAGGATATATTAGAAGCATAGACAATATGACATGGTCAAAATAGCAAAATCTCACGCGCATGCACGTGCGCTTTGCTCTGATTGGCTGAAACTAAAGTCTCAATATCTTTTTTGTTTTTTGACGAAATCCTTTGAAATTTTGAAAATTGCCATGCATTATGATATCCTACAACATGATATGTAGCAATTATCATGAAAACACGTGCATGCACATGCGCTGCAATCTGATTGGCTTAAACTTTAAATAGCTATAACTCCCTTGATTTTCAACCAAACAGGATGGGACTTGGAACATAGATAGATATACTGGACTACTAAAAGAAAATATGGTCACCATGCACATGCATACACGTGCATGTACATGCACTGCAATCTGATTGGCTGAAACTTTAAACAGCTATAACTCCCTTGGTTTTCAACCAAACGAGGTGAGATTTAGAACATAGATAGATGTAACGGACATGTACAAGAAAATATGGTCACCATGCTCATGTATGCACGTGCGTGCATGTGAAATGAGCAAAATCAAAAAAACACTTGAATGATCGTATCTTTTTAATACTTTTGGAATAAATACTTTAATACTTAGATATTTAGTATATTAAAATATATAGATTGTGTGGACAAGGTGATATGGTCATGACGCACATGCATTCACATGCGCACGCGTGGAATGCTAAAATTTGAATGAACTTTGTACACTTCTGGGTAAACGTTGTTAAAGTCTCAAATGCATCGAGTTTGTCTTATTTAATGAAGCTTACAGGGAATATGGCACCAAAAGGGAGTTGGGGAGCGTTTGGGGAACATCTGTAACGGTCCCCGTTACAATTAGCACTAGTTATTATTATTATTATTATTAAGGTCTTCCGTTTCAGACGGAAGACCTTATAGTGATTCTACTGTTTCTTATTATTATTATTTTTTTTTTTTCCCTTTTCTTTTTTTGACGATTTCTCAGAGATGACTGGACAGATTCTCATGAAATTTTCAGAGATGATAGAAAATCAAAATATCTTTCAAAAGCAGTTTTCACTTTTTCAAAATTCACTTCCGGTCGTCAGTTATGTCTGATTTCCGCTTTTTTCAAAAAAATTTTGTCCCAGTCATATCTCAGAAACGGTAAGAGACTAAGACACCAAACTTATATGAGTGATAGATCTTGATAAGTAGGCAAAACCATTTGGGTTAACACAGTCGGCCGTCACTTCCGGTCGTCACAGGAAGTGATCAAAGAAATCTAAAATTTCAACTTTTCATTTATGAAACTTTTTTTGCATTACATTATAGTATCTTATTTGCAGTTTCGAAATATGTCAGTCCCACAGGAAACAAAAACGACAACTTCCGGTTATAAGAGAAAAACTGGATATTTTGAGTATTTTTCTTTCCCATAAATGTTTTTTATAGATAAAATATTTGTAATGATTTTTGTATATGTTATTCAGACTGCAAATGTCTACAGTAACGTCAAATATCTTTGTAAAATTCACTTCCGGTCGCGTGATTTCCGGTCCTCAAAATGAGAAGTTATCATAGCTAGATCTCGTAAACGGTAAAAGATTAAGACACCAAACTTATCTAGAGTGATAGATCTTGATGAGAAAGCAAAATCAGCTGTGATCAGATAGTCCGCCGTCACTTCCAGTCGTCACAGGAAGTGATCTAAAAAATCTAAATTTTCAACTTTTCTTTCATGAAACCGTTTTAGCATCACATTATAGATTCTTATTTGAAGTTTCGAAATGTATCAGTCCCAACGGAAACAAAAATGTCAACTTCCGGTTAAAAGATAAAAAAACCACATAATTTGAGTAATTTTCTTTCCCATAAATATCTTTTATAATTAAAGTATTTGTAATGATTTTTGGATATGTTATTTAGAATGCAAATGTCTACAGTAATCTCTAATATCTCAGTAAAATTCTCTTCCGGTCGCGTGACTTCCTGTCCTCAAAATGAGAAGTTTTCATCGCTAGATCTCTTTAACGGTAAGAGATTAAGACACCAAACTGATAGGGATGGTAGACCTTGATGAGTAGACAAATCCTTTGAGTTTAAAATTGTCCACCGTCACTTCCGGTTGTCACTGGAATTGATCAAATAAATCAAAAATTTAAACTTTTCTTTACGGAATCTTTCTTAGTATCACCTTATATCATCTTACTAGTAGTTTCGAAATATGTTGGTCCCATTGGAAACAAAAACGGCGACTTCCGGTTATGAGAGAAAAACTGCATAAATTGAGTTTCTTACTATCCCATAAATATCTTTTATAAAAACAGAATTTGAAATGATTTTGGGACATGTTATTCAGATTGCAAATGTCTAGAGAAACCTCAAAATGAGACCTTTGACCCTTACTCAAAAAGTAATAAAGAAATATTCATTACCTTTATCCAGATTCAGCTTCAAGTGTTTATCTCAAGTTTACCTCTCTCTCTCTTTGATAACCTTGACCTTTGACCTTGATAAATGACCTTGTCCTTTGGCTCAATTGACCCAAAGGTCATAATCAAGCTTAAGGTCGTGGAGGTATTTGCAACTCTTAATCTAACAAATGCTTATAAAATATCCCCTCCCTTCTCTAAAAAAAACAAAACAATCAACACCAACTTAGAGAAAATGTCTTCAAGTCAAACGAAAGGAAATATCGGCATAAGATTCGTAATAAAAGAAAGAAGAGACCTGAAAGAAAGTGTCCTGAGAGTTTTAAGGCGAGTCTCAGAAGTATTTTGAAATTCTAGTGAATATCGGCAAAATCTGCATTTTTTTCTATCTGAAATTTAGTTATTGCCGAGCATAAAAATTAATTAAAACTCGTATTGGCTATTTCTGCAATTATTGTTAATATCATTCGATTCTCCTGCTCTATTACGACATTTTAATACCAAGTATTCTTGCTTTCTTAGGTGTATTGAATTTATTTTAATTTTATTTAGATTTAAATATGAATCGGCTGGAACTCGGAAATGACGATTTTTCATATCAATTTAATTTTCACGCAATTTAGACAGGTCAATTGCACTGACCCCGCTTGATACGATATGGTGTTCAAAAATGCCCATGACTCACTCACTATTTTTCCGGGATTTTGAATTTCCTCTGCAACTGACCACGTGTATTACTTTCGCTTTTACAACTCTGTATATGCTAAGTGTCATTTCTTCACTGCAAATGTGTCCCCATAATTATTCTAATCATTTTCCTACATACAATATCACATCAAACAGGGAATATCTTAGTTTTGTAAGAAATTTGACCGGGACTTTACTACGAAACTATTTTTTTCACTTCGAAACTATTTTCTTCAACCTTAAAATAATAAGCTTACAAAATACCTTAAATGTCATGGAATTTGGTGGCTCAGTGGTTAGCGTGTCCGACTTTCATTCTCATGGTTTTGGGATCGAGCCCAGGTGGAGGATTTTTTTTTTTTTTTTTTTTTGCATTTTGTCTATTTTTTATTTGTCTTTTTTTTCTAAAATAGAAAAATATCCTTCTTACAGAAAAATAAAGAAAAACGGAAGACCTTATTTGTTGCTGTAGCAACAAGAGTTTCTAGTTATTATTATTATTCTTTTTTCTTCTTATTTCTTCTCCGGTACTTTTTTGTCCGGAAGTGTTCTCAGAATCTGTTCACCAAACTAAGTTAAAACCTTTTTAGGGTTAGTAGGCATGTTGTGTAGATGTGCCGAACGAAGGTCATTTTGCGCGCATTCGCATGCACGTGCGGGCG